AGCAATTTAAAAGAGCAATTTTAACATGCACTTGCAGAAGCATGTGAGGCAGACAATGCATGATGAGTGCATATTTTATTTTGATTTAATAAGAGGGAGAGAAAGAGACTGCATTTTCCTCAGCTTCTATAACAGATGTTATACCCAGAGGTAACAGACATGGAAGAGTGGAGGACTTACTTCCTCTGACTGTTCATGGGAGTATTTGAATTACTTCCCATTGAAAACAGCTTCACATTTATGCCACTTTTCAAAATTTATAGAATGCATGAAGAAACATTATGTGAACAATAGCATGGGTGGGGCTGCAGACTAACAGTGGAATAATCATACCCCTCAGTTTATTGAGAAGCGGGAAGCAGACGTGGGTGGCTTCAGCCAAGAGAAGCTGTAATTTCCACCTACCCCAACCTGAGAGACCCTGCAGCAGGTAATTGTACTTTACCAAATGAATTTAATGTACCTTAGAAAGTAAACAACAAAAATAAATAGCTTTGCCAACAAGGCAGGACATATTCAGAAATGGATAAACACATTTCATACTTTTTAAACCTTTTAAAGTGCTTAAAATGTAGCTTATGTTTGAGTCTTCTGTAGTTTCAAAAAAGTGAAGCTGTGAACATCAGACAATGCTTTCTTAGGGAAAGAGTTAGCCATTCAGCTTCTATTTAAAAAAAAGTCTCCAAGATTTTACTTACTGCAATTTCATTTATACATTTCAACTATGTTAAGGGTCAGGACAGGCTGGGTGGATAGAAGGAAGAGGAAAAAAAATGATAATTAGGGCTTTTTTCCCCTTACATAATGGAGTTGAGTATTAGATTCCCGAGTCTATCATTGGAGAAATCGCTAAATGATTTGCTTAAATTCACCAAATTGAAAAGTATGATAATGATACATCTACTACGATTAGTGAAAACAAAAAATATGGTATAGATTCCTAAGATGTTGATTTGAAAATAATGCAAATCAATATTGAGATACTATAAATACACATTCTCTTCCCCCAAAAAAGGGTAACATTTCATTAATTATACATTCAAGTAAAACTTTTCAATTGCCTGGATGAAAAATCAAATATTGACAGATTCTTCAAAGTAAACAACAGATACCGTTGCCAGAAATAAAATGGCAGTGATTCAAATGCATTAATATGGAATTTAAAAATCATACATGGTAAGTAATCTAGTCTCGTAAATTGTTTTCTCTGTGATACAGAAAATTAATGCAAAAATTTCTGAAAGGCAGAAACTATTCATTGTTCCTTTGTAACTTAAAAAAACATTCACATGAAAAAGATATCACTCACACACACACACACACACACACACACACACACACAGGAAGTAACTTGAAAGCTTCCTGCTGATCTAACATTTATAGCATATTAAAATATAGCAATTTTAAGGTAACCATTTATTCAACCAGAAGATATTAATGGTTAGGACTGTACAATTAGAAAAGTAGCACTCTTTACTTGAGTAAAATAAGATTGATTTTAGATGGAGAATTCAGTGCCACGTAGAAGCCAGTATTCAGGACAGATAGTGTTTATAGAATTAGATAGGTTATATTGGATATCTCAAAAGGATCATTTCCCTGTATTACAAAGAATTTTAAGCTTTAGAAATATCTATTAATTCTTAGATAGCTATCACAGGTTGAAGTGGCTTTTGTTGATATTGGACCCCAGGTTGAGGCCGACGGTGATACTTATAAATCTTTGGAACTTGAAATGGGTGAAAAGAGAAAAAGAAAGAAAAAAGAAAAAAGAGAGAGAGAGGAAGGAAGGAAAGAAAGAGAGAGAAAAAGAAAGAAAGAGAGAGAAAAAGAAAGAAAAGAAAAGAAAGAAAAGGAAGATGGACATCATAATGTAAACTAGTATTGACTTTATATTTAGATGTATCATGCTTATAAATTATACTCAACTTCTTTTCAGAGAATGTTTAAAGATTAGTATCATATACCCTTCTAATCCTAATGATTTGATAACCGTGGTTTCTCTCATATCTAAAATGAACTTGATTATCCCGCGCTCCTCCCTAAGACTAAATCAGACAAAGCTTGTGAAGACATTAATTAACTATAATAAACATGTGTGACAACGATTCATCACATGTGAAAAAGATGATTTTAAAAACAAAATCTCTCTAGTTAGAAGTAAAATGACTCATGATTCAGCCTGATACTATTTAATTCCATGAAGAGTACACAAATTAAATGTTGCTCAAATAAAGAATAAGATAAAAAAGACTAATATAAATGCAAAATGTCAGGGCATTTCATAAGTTAGGCAGCAGCTATGAATATAAGTTATTTTTACTCTATCCCCTCCCACACAAATGAGGCTATTCTCAAATTTAAAACACCTCCAAGTGCAATACAGCCATAGTTTTACTTAACACATTTTAATATGCATACTGAACATAAACATTCAATAAAGGTGAATCCATGTTTATTAACATAGTCATTTCACTCGATTCATTATCACTAGCCTTAAAGCACAGTCCAATTTATTTGAAATTTCCACATCTCTCATACTAATGATCAATTGTAAATAATCCCTAGGCTTAATAGAAAGTTCATTACAATAAATGCTGTACTACTACTTTTAATAAAGATAAAATAAGATAAAAATGGAAATGATGAAAATAAAAATAAAAAACAAATCGTTTAAATAGGGATACAGGTGGACCCATTGCAACAATGAGATGTACAAGTTGTTATGTTGAAAACAAACTTTACAACTTTCCTGGGGGGTGGGGTAGGGAGGATTGTGGTGGCGGGGGGCGGGAGGGAGGATGGGAAGGGATGGGAAGGGGAAACGAAGGAGGAGGCTACAATGCTTGATAAGAAATGTACTCATTATCTTGCCCATGTAATTGTAACTCCTCTGTACAGTATTTTCACAATAAAAAAAAACCCAGATTGAATATTTTCATGAACAAAGTAAATCAGGAAGATGAATGTGATAGCAAATCAATACCGACTATGGTAATTTATATATACATTATAAGAAATAAAAGTGGAAAAAAGACCATTTTAATAAAATAAAATATATGTAGGAATATACTCAGGAGAATGGATTTTTAAAATTATTTTTCCATGTTAAAATGGGATACTAATTTCAGAATGTAGAATAAACTACTTTTCGTTTCCACATTGTGTCTACATTTCGATGACTTCTATGAGTGTTCAGATTGTGGGCTTAACATGTCTCTCCAGAAAGTTTATCTACTTCTGAAAGAACAATTTTTTCATGAACTCAAACAGGAGGCTGTAGCTCTACAGAATATTTAAAGCAAACTGTGAGATTCAGGCTAAGCCTTGGAGGTAAAAATATATCTTTAACAACTTTCAAAGTATAAATAATGATAATTACCAGATCGTTGGACTTCTAAGTGTTAAACAGATGGCTGATCAGGTATACTTCCTTCTATTGCTAAGGTTCCTTTGAAAAGTGCAATTAATATATAAAAACAATTCAACGCCTAAGTTCCAGATGCTCAAGGCTGTAATCCTAGCTACTCAGGAGGCTGAGAAGTGAGGATTGCAGTTCAAAGCCAGCCTGGCCAAGAAAGTCCATGATTTTTTGTCTCCAATGAACCATCAAAAACAAGAAGTAAAGCTGTGGGTTAATAGAGATAGCCTTGAGCAAAAAAAAGCTCAGGAACCTGTGTTCAAGAACCTGTGTTCAAGCCTCAAGACTAGCACAAAAAACAAAACTAAATTAAAAAGGCCCAATTTAAGAATACTTATAAATTATAAAATAGCTAAGTGAATGTTTTGTTTCACTGTTGATAAGAATTTTTGGTGAGTAGCCTAGTATAGTAAAAATGAACAGATGTCTAAGAAACAAGATTTTTTCTAACACTTATATTCTCATAGATTTCCAGTTTTATTTTTGAATTTTCAGAAACCCTTATAAATCACTGTACTAACTTCAAATATTTCAACCAAATGACTAATGTATACAAAATGCCTCCTGAAACTAATTTAAAATTAAACTATTTTCAGTCATTAAAAACAATAATACTGCATTGTAAAGCGCATTCAAGTAACTTAGTTTACAAAATTTCTTAGTATTTTTTATATGTATGTAGCTAACAACTCCTCAATTCATAACAATATAGATAGAAAAGATACATAAAACTTTATTTCTATTTTATTCATTACTTGAGTTCAGTTCACCTATTTATTTTTTCACTACTTGGTTTCAGGTATGTTGAAGGCAATAACAAAAGAAATACATCTGTATTCTGCAATGGACATTAAGCAGTTGAGCAAATTTTTAACAATAGATTTTGTTGTTGTTGTTGTTAGTTGTGGGGCTTGACTTCTGGGCCTGGGCGCTGTCCCTGAGCATTTCAGTTCAAGGTGAGTACTCTACCACTTGAGCTAGAGCACCACTTCTGGTTTTCTGGTGGTTCACTGGGGATAAGAGTCTCACAGACATTTATTTCTGCCTGGGCTGGCTTTGAGCTGAGATCCTCAGATCTCAGCTTCCTGATTAGCTAGGATTAGAGGTGTGAGCCCCCAGGGCCTGGCCATAGATTTTTGTTTTTCCTGTAAAATAGTTATCACACTGCAGCACTATTCAGTGACTTTTCCGTCTAGGATATGACCACTGCCCCGATGATAACAGCATTATTGAGAAAGATAATTTCCAAATGGTAAAGTGTTTTTCCATGTTTACTTGAAAGAAAAAGATCTCTTAAAAATATTGTCACCTACAATGATCAGAGATTTTTTTTTCTTTTTGCTGGAAATAAAAAGTTCATCAAAATAGCCATTCAAAGAAGGACACCTGATTCATAATAGAATGGTAGCAAGTATTGACACTGTTCCTTTATCAGCTAAATTATGACATAATCACAGTATTGAACTCATAGGAATTCTTAGAGCAGTTTTTTACATTGTATGTCAAATAATTTGAACTTTTACTATTGCATGCATGTTGTCCTATATTGTTCTACAAGATTTCTACTGTTGAGTCTTACCTGCGCATTTTGTTCTAGTGATGAGCGGTGGTCCTGGGAGCCCGGTTCCACCTTCTCCAGGTCTTGTGAGTAGGACACGGATCTCATATTCAGTATCTGGATCTAAATGCCAGAGCTTGTAAGTTGGAGCATTGACTGCATGGGTTTCTGTCCAGGACCCTGATGTCATGCGATATTCCACTTCTTTCAGGATAATGGGACCATCACCAATGATGGAGTTGGCATTTAGCTGGATCAGTAGATATGTAGGCCCAACGCCAAGCAACTGAGGAGGAGCAATGGGTCTTGGTGGTTCTGTAAGACATGAAGGTACACTCTAATTAGAAAAAAAAGTTCAGAATGTAACAATACAAAAATCTGTCAATGTCTTTAAAGCACTGAAGACTTAGTGAATCATTCATTTAGAAGCATATGATAGCTGTGGAAAAGAAAATCAGAATGAGAGCAGTGTGATACCTGTACTATCTTTTTTTAATCTTTGATCATTTTCACATATTTCTTTTTACAAAAAAACCCTGCTTCTCCAAGATATAAACTTATAAAAGACAAGAATTACAAGAGATAGATATGGATATGTACATAGATATATCTCAGATATAGAGATAGATAGATAGACAGACAGACAGACAGACAGACAGACAGACAGACAGACAGACAGACAGACAGACAGACAGACAGATAGATAGATAGATAGATAGATAGATAGATAGATAGATAGATAGTTGGTTGATAGATCTTTGTTCCTTACTTCTTCAGAGTACCAGCAGACATGATAAGGGAAGTTGATCAGGGTGGTGATTTCTTTCTATGTATTCAGCTTACAGAGTGGGAAATTGAAATTGACACTATGCAAAAATCACAAATCACTACTTAACCTTAGTCATTGACAGGGACATTTGTCAAGGAAGCCTTAGTTCTGTCACTATATCAGTCCATGGGAAATACCATGATTTGAAGTTCTAATCAGTACACTGTAAAAAGGAGAGGGATGTCTTTAAGCTATTGAAACACTGCTCACACTTCACAGAGAAGTTAAAAGAGTGTAAATCATAATATTAATCTTACTAAACTGATTATTGCCCTGAAATTGATTTAAAGATTACTTTTTAATATAGTAACTATTGTAAAGGAAAATATTTATGGCAACCACAAAATGCTTCCTTCACACTAACCAACCTAGACAAGGGTACCCTGGGGGAGAAACAAATACAGGAGGTTAACAAGGTACCCGCAGTATCTTTGTTATTGTCCAATGGCAATACATTGTATTCAGAAACTACAATTTAAAAAGCCACATGAAGGTCTGACCTTATTTAGGTCTAAGTGAATCAAGAATTTTCAGCTGGTGTGCAGGATTTCCTTGTAATTCTGCTTGTATGGAAAGGAACAGCTGGCATAAATCTCTACATTGAGATAGACTAGCTGTCCCAGGCTAACTCATTTAACTCATTTGAGTTTACAGAAGCTGAAATTATTTCCATAAGTAGTATTTATTGAGTACCTACTAATTACTCAGCAGTTCCATATAGTGGGAATCCATATAACATTGTAAATATAACATTTTGAAGGAAGAATGGACAAGATCAACTTATTCCTTTAAAATGAACAACATGAAACAAATAGCACACTATGATAAATATCACTTTAACAAGCCCGGCGCCAGTGGCTCATGCCTGTAATCCTAGCTACTTAGGAGGTTGAGATCTGAGGATCGCGTTTCAAAGCCAGCCCAGGCAGGAAGGTCTGTGAGACTCTTATCTCCAATAAACCACCAGAAAACCAGAAGTGGCGCTGTGGTTCAAGCGGTAGAGCGCTAGCCTTGAGCTGAAGAGCTGAGGGTCAGCACCCAAGCCCAGAGTTCAGGCCACACAACTGACCCAAAAAAAAAAAAAATCACTTTAACAATACAAGTAATGTAATAGCCTTCAAAGTAGCTATTTAAAGAACAATATAAATTTTTGTTGTTGTAGTTGTTGTTTTTGTTGGTCGTGGGGTTTGAACTCTGGGCCTGGGTGCTGTGCCTGCGCTCTTCAGCTCCAAGTGAGCTCTCTACCTCTTGAGCCACAGCTCAACTTCTGGTTTTCTAGTGGTTTATTAGAGATCAGAGTCTCATGGACTTTTCTGCCCGGGCTGGCTTTGAACCATGATTCTCAGATCTCAGCCTCCTGAGTAGCTAGGATTACAGGCCTGAGCCACTGGCACCCAGCTCAATATAACTTTTGATTGACTACAAAAAAAAAAGAAAAGAAAGAAAATAAACCCAAATTTTGTATGACATCCATCATACATATATAGAACTACTTATAAGAAAGTGTACTTCTTCATACCTGATTTTAAAATGATAACCACAAAATCTAATCTTAATGATTTTGCGTACTGATTTAATAATATGTATTTAGGGTCTGGGAAGGTGGCTCAGTGGTATAGTGCTTGCCTTGCATGCGTGAGGCCCTACATTCGATTGCTCACCACATAAACAGAAAAAGCTGGAAGTGGTGCTATTACTCAAGTGGTAGAGCACTAGCCTTCAGCTGAAGAGCTGAGGGACAGCACCCAGGCTCATGACCGACAAAAAAGAAATAATAATAATAATATGTATTTAAAGTTGTATCCCAGTAAACTATTTCCTATTTCACAAATGAAAACAAAAGCTTAACTAAGGTGAAATAGTTTCAATGTTATCAGCTAAAATAAGATTCATTTCATTAAAAAAAATTTTTACCAACTGGTCTAAAACTCTAAACTTTAGAGTTTTCTAAAATTTTATTTTAGTCAGGAAGAAAGAGAAAGATATTCTCTCTAAATCCTAAACTAAAATAAAACATAAAAAAGAAATATACATGAGGAAACATATAAATGCCTTCCCAGCCTCTCTAAATGTTACCCATATTTAAAAAAGCACACTGTACTTGGCTAATAAGCTGAGTGGCCTGAGTACCATGTTTGCATTCCAGATGGCTCAGATACTAATTTAAGTAAAAGTAGAAAACAATAATAAACTGACAGCTCTCTGGGGTTCCACCCGGAGCCACAATACCTCACTCATTTTACAACTCAGCCATGACCCAAGGAGTTCTGGCAGGTAACATGGTACATGAACAGGAAGAACATGACAAATAATTTATGAATAAAACTAGTTAATTTATAAATTTATAGCTTCTCTATGCAATGTGAGATCTAACCCTTGAAACTCTTGACACTTTGCCATAGAAATAAAAGAGCAAGCAAGAGGTGAGGGTAGAAGATGGGAAGGACAGGAAAGAAGACAAAAGCTACAGCTGAACAGTATTACAGTTAAACAATGGGTCCCATGGTTACTTTCAATAAGTCGTGACATATTAATACAATAAAATCTGGAGTGAAGAGGGTAAGTTTCAAAATACATAGTTATATATACTCACAACCCAGGAAATGTGCATGTTATTTACTTTTGCATTACAATCATTTCATTAGTAAGGTAGTCATTATTCAACAGATTAAAAATACTTGATACTACTAACTACATCCACAAACCCTATATATGATACTAATTGCTTTTTTGACAGTGTGCATATAAATTTAAAAATGAGAAATTAATATTCAACAAGAAGAGTATGTGAGAGTAAGTTTGATGTAAACATTGTTGTCAACTGAGGAAAGGAGTAAGGAAGTGTGGCCAGTTTCCTATTTTACAGCTATGTTATACAAAAAAGGGAACAATCTCATATGCAAAGCAGTTGCTCCAATTCTGAGTGGTGGTGATATAAAAAGGGTCTACAAAGCATATACATTGATTAGCAGCGTGATTATGAGAAGGGAAACTCACATTAATGAGAGTAATATACCACTACATATTAAATTTTTATGTTGGAGGTATAAAGTAGCTTTATATTAGCATATGTGCTTTGTTTTTGGACTCTTGAGAGCAAGAAGATTTATTTATAAAATCCCTATTCATTTCAGTAAATTATACATGAATTTTAATCAGTTAGCAAATGAACAAGTAATTGTTCTGCAGCAATATTAATATTCTTCATAACTTAATACACTACCAGACCCAAAGGTACTGTGGAAATAAATCCCAACTGTACACTAAGTATGAAGTGAAGCATACAATCCCTAAAATACAAGATAAACTTTACCAATGTTACCCATTAACTTTCAATTAATGACTTACATTCATTATTCTAGTGCCTACCTATTATAAGTTCCCAATTATATATTTCAATTACCTTATTCATTTTATATCTCAAATATTTTTTTCACTAGGTACTGAAATCAAGCAAATCACTATGAAAATGTATTCTCATCCAGAAAATAGCAATATCCTATTGGTATTTTACAAGTATGCACTGCTTATCAAGTGTCAGTTAATCAATAAAATGCAAAATCACAAACAGAAGCCACAAAGCCAGAAAATGTCAGTAACAAAGTAAATGTCAAGGCAAATAACACTTCTACATCCATTTTCCAAGTAGACAAACTAAACACCTTACAATTCTATTTCCGTCTTAATGGTTTTGTTTGTCAATGAGGCCTTAACATGAAGTATTTTAAGATTACCTCTTCCCCTAGAGAAGTAGGCAATGATGTCGCTTCAGTCTCCTGGGTCTTCTCTAGAAAATTACAATAAGCTCGGTGACAATTTTTGCAATTTTAAGAGGAAAAAAATCTATTCTTTCATGGTTCTTGACCGGGTAAACTAAATCAGTAGCACTAGACAGAAATAAAAGTGTCAGAGAATTCTACATCCTGCCCCCCCCCCCCGCAATCCTCCCAAAGACCCTAAGTAAAAGTTAGATACGTTACTTCCTTGTTTGTTTGTTTGTTGTTTTTTCCAAAGTATTGTATCTGCTGGTGTTCTTTGGCTTATTTTACACCCTCCTCCCAATCAACGCCCACTTTCCCTTCTCCTCTTCTGTCTCTAGTCAAATTCTGTGCTATCTATTTACAAGGAAAGTTAAGAATGCATCTAGGACATATGGACAACTAAAGACACCCTCACCATTTCTAACTCCCTAGCATAATTACATCTGGAAAAATTATTGAGCAATATAAAGGTTGCATTCACAGTTTAAAAAAATGAAAATAGTATTAGAGAACATTTTCAGCCTGTGACAGACATGAACCAAGATTCCCTTTTTCCTGAAAGACAGTTCAATCAGACCGATTTCTAGTTGGTTTCTAACTTGAGGGTATGGCTCAAGTGGTAGATCACCAACCTTGAGTGAAAAAGTTGAGCAAGAATGTGAGGCCCTTAGTTCAAGCTTAAGTGCCAGCACAAAAATAAATTATATATATATATATATATTATT